AAAAAAAAAATAACATCGAGCAACTTAATTCCATGTAAGGCATGTGAAACAGATTAAAAAAAAAAAGTATTCTTATATCTCCAATAGTATTTGGTCGTAAAGAAGGAGCTCGCTTAAGAGATATGGAAGTTCTTTATACCAGATAGGTAATTTAATAATTATTAATTGGAATATGATAAATATTACATGTTACATTGCCAAATTAATTTAATTATTTGAGCAAGTTACTAAAACAACGATTCTTTAGTTAACTATCAATTTTTGGTAGACACTAATATGATGAAGTGATTTTACATTGCTCAATCCTATCATCTTGCTGTCATCCATATTGGCTACACAATTGAAGTCAGTGGTTCATGAACTTCATCAATAGGAAGTGTACTCTCTCTCTCTCTCTCTCTATTTTTTGGTACAAAGTGAGGGCTAAAGCCCAAACAAGCAGAAAACTAACTAAGAAGACACTACAGCAGTAAAATTACTGTAGATTTTGCGATCTTCCCTTATTCTAAGAAGCAGTTCTATAATGACCTCTACTGATAAATCTTAGTTAGAGTTTTAATTTCAAAATTTAAATGTCATAATTAGATTTAGAACGTGATTTTGAGTGTTTTGACTGTAATCATGACCTATAGTGCCTTCTGTCGAGTATTCTGCATTGCTGTGTAGGAACTAGTTAAGCTTGAAAATGAGTAAAATCAAGTTAGTGAATCCATTCTATCACTTAATTTTGGCAAAAAATGCTTATGTGAAGAGTTCTTCCCTTCTCCCTTGTGTGTCACTATTCATCAAGAGGAGAAATTGAATTTTTTGAGGAAGCTTTGATTGGAGGTTATTCTCTAGATTTTGTACAAGTGATTGATAACTTTTTCTACCACCACGCTAAACGTCAAAAGACTCAAAACGCCTTTCTCTTCTTCCCTCTTGTTTTGCTCTCCCCTCTTTTGAAATCTAAATTTTCTTCGAAGTATTTGACTCTTCATTACTCTCATTTTAAATTCCATCAAATTCAATCTAAATCAAATACTATGACCTTAAAAGCACTATTCTCTTCTTTTATGTTTGTGTGTGCAATGGAGGCTCAACAGGGAAGAGGATGATTGGTATTGTTATAAAAAACTACATCAACCCAAAGCCTTAAGGTATTGGGTTAAGGTCTTTTAAATAGTTTATATTATTCTCTAACGCATTCTCTCACGCAAGAGCCTTTGACTTGAACATAAGACCAATTTTATTTTATTTTTGGTTACCTTATACTTATTGTTATAAAAAACTTATAGATATATTATTCTCTAATAATTATTGTCGCCAGCACTACTAAAAAAGTCATTTTTTTCGACGGAAAAATTCCGTAAAAAATGGTATAAATTCCGTCGAAAATAAAGTTTTCGACGCAATTTTCGACGGAATTCAAGTCGTCGAATTTCCCTTCGTTGATAACCCATTTTTTGACGGGATTCCAGATTCCGTCAAAAAGTTTCGACGAAATTTATTTCTGAGGAAAATTGTCAACAAAATTTATTTCCGTGGAAAATTTTCAGCAGAAATTATTTCCGTGGAAAATTTTCGACGGAAAATCAATGGAATTCTGTCGAAAATTGTTGTGGTGGTTTTCGACGGAAAATAGATTCCGTTGAAAATTTTCGACAGAAAATCAATGAAATTCCGTCGAAAATTGATGTGAAAATTTTCGACGAAAAACAAATTTTGTAAAAAATTTGCAACGGAAAATCAATGAATATCCGTCGAAAACTGATGTAAAAGTTTTTCACGATAAATAAATTCCGTGAACATTTTTTAGAATTTTTTTAAAAAATTTCTCTCCACAAAATTAATTTCAATTTTCTATAATGCACTTGATAAAAAATATAATCTAAATAAAAAAAAATCCCTATAAAGTATTTAAAAGGCTTATACAATTAGCGAGCGATGTACAATAAATATATATTGTAACCTTAAAAAATTAACATATCAATACGCAATACAAAATTGACTTCGTAAATCAACTATACAATTTCTTCTTAGAATACATGTATCTCAAAACATTATTATGAAATCTGGATGATGCTATAATAAAATCTGGAGGATGCTTCAAAGTCTGCCTTATCAAGTTTTCCATTTAGCCATGCACCTTCAAAATCCGACAGTGGATGTTCGTAAGCTATAAATTAAAATCAGGATGAGGCATTACAATAATGCTTACTTAAAACAATAATTTTTTGTAAGTGCATTTTTTTAATAAGTACCTTTATATCTCTATGAACAATCTCTCAAAATTTTGACTCTCGTTTCACATTTCAACCGTCTGTCTCTTCCTGAACAGACTCAAACACACACACAAACATGTCAACAACATATACAATAACCTTGGGAGATGAAAGCGATGTGAATTGAGGTGCACAAAATTAATTAGGAAGTTTTCAACCTTGAATGAAAATAATAAATATATCATTAGTATTAATTAGGAAGTTTTCAACCTTGAATGAAAATAATAAATGATATAATTAGTATTAATTAGGAAGTTTTCAACCTTGAATGAAAATAATAAATGATATAATTAGTATTAATTGTGACGTTTTCAAAGTTTCAACCTTGAATGGCATTGATTGTGAAATTCGAATTTCAAAGTTTTCACCTTAAAAGAAAATAATAAATGACATTGATTGAGAAATTGAAATTGAAGTTTGGAAGTTTTTAACCTTGAATAAAAATAATAAATGATATAATTAGTATTAACTAGGAAGTTTTCAACCTTCAATATTTTATGAAAGAAATCAGTAAAATCATCATGCAAAAATGAGATATAAGCAGTCTAAGCACACTATTTTTATTTTTTTATTTTTTCTGGTCAGGAGGGGAGCTAAATCATTGTAATCATCTTTGATATGCTTTGCCAATTTAGCATAGCTTATTGAAAGAATTTTGGGAAAGTTATAGTATCAATAATTAATGATTCCAACACAAGGTTTAAAATTCAAAAATTATAGACACAAAGGCATTAACAAGAGCAGCAACAGTAAACCCCCCTTAATTTCGTTAGTCAAAAGATGGAATGGAACGAGGCTGCATATATGTTTGAGGAGAAATTGTCATGTTTTTAAAGGGTGAGATGGAAGTGAAGAAAAAAGATGACATTGGAGATGAAGAATAGATAAACAAAATATAAACTAAAAAAATACATTACATATATACTATAAAGATTAATGAAAATCGATCAATATTAAGAATAATTATACACAATAATGGAAAATTAAATAAACGACAAATATTTAAATAATAAAAATATCAAAATATTTCTTAGTGCATTTCCTCAGCGTAAGACAAACTATAATAGTAGATTTTATCTTATTCTGTTCAGTACATATCTTTTTGAATTTGATGGCCAGTTGGGCATGACTACCGGATGGAACCTATTTTTTTTATATAATTATTAAATAGACAAGTTATTATTACTTTCAATTAATATTACTATCAACGTTATTACTAGTTTGTATGTTGATCCAACGGTTTTAATTTAATTTTTTAAAACTTTCTTTCTCCTCCGTATATTTAATATTTTATATTTATTTACATTTTTGTATGGTTATGATTGCACATATTTAATTCTTTCACATTAACTATAGGGAATTGTAAACATATAAAGGTGAAAATAAATTTAACCATTGGATCAACATAATTTATTTAATAGTAAATAACCATTGATAGTAATACTAATTGATACTAACAATATCCTATTTCATTATTAAATTACATTGTCATTCTTTAAACCTAAACATTCAACCATGGGAAAACTATTTGTGTTTTAAAAGGATATAAGTTGTATTTTTTTACTCTATGTATTCATGGTAGTACATAGATATAACATGAAAAGTTATTTTTTTATCTCTTCTCAGTCATATTAATATAATTTTTTTTATATTATAACCATATGGATTATATAAAGTAAAAAGTTAAAAGGATACATCTTATATCTTTAAAAGTACCCAGACTAAACCCTTCAACTGTTTATCTTCTAATCAAAACATCCGCTTCCTTCGTATTAAAAAAAAAAAAAAAAACATCCGCTTCCATCAAGTACAACACACCACACATGAATAATGTACTTCAAGCTGACAATGAAAGTAGTTGACTCTTAGAAAAGACCACACTTGGTCTTTTTTCTCTCATGGATTCTTTTTGTTTTTACAACTCAAATCTCCTATACGAAGGGAACCCATAACTCCAAAGCAAAAAGAGTCTTCTTATTATTAGAAAACGATGGCATAAAAAAGGGTGATTTATTTTATCAGAATTCGTCCATATAAATAGGCATAGTTACATAGGTAAGTTACAATAGATAAAGATATGTCTATATACCAAAAAAAAAAAAGATATGCCTACAGCTAATACTATGATGTACAATTGATAAAACCGAATCTACTCAAAACAAGGCTGGTAGAATATATTTGTTACTAGATATAAGATCAAATCTTGATTTTTTTTCCATCTCTAATATCTGTTTCTCTCTGTTTTTCAATTTCATTTGTTTTGAAAATTGCTAAAGCTGCTTACCAAACAAAAAGAATAAAATAAAATAAAATTGACTGGATTCTTAACTCAAAAATATCACCAGAGAACCTTTCATCGACACAAAAAGGTTGGATTCTCAACTTGACATATGGGAACTAGTTAACTGGTTTGACTGCAATATGCAGAGCCACACCTAAATTATTAACAATTTAGGCTTTGGTAAATCCAAGTAATCTTATTAACAAAAAAATAAAATAAAAATAAAATCTAAGTAATCCGATACAAGTTTCAAGTATTGGCAGATTAGTAAATATAAATAAACATTGTCTTATCTCTTAATAACGAAATATTGCATAATTGGATAGATGCTTGATCATAAAACAAATCCTTAATCTAACAACATAAAAACACAAAACAGAGTTTTCATTCCTCAAAACACCAGTAAATGAATAAAAAAATTAAAAAGGGCACCAATTCCAGGCGAGACAAAAGTCTTACATAGCATTACTGGGATAAGCAGAAGTGCATAATGCCGAAGTAGTGTTATCTTCACTGAGATAAGCGCTAGCCATAACATAATCAGGAAAAGTTGAAGCACCAGTTCCACATGGTCGAAGAGTGTTAGAGTAAGAAGTGAAACAAACTCTGGTTTCCCATTCATGCTCGCATATCTCTCTCAATCTCCAAGAATTTTTACCACTCAAATCAAATCCATAAACATTTTTCTTGGTGGCAAATATCAAAGAATCACCATTCATGATTGTAAACCCTTGAACCCTTGGATCTTCCTCCTTCAACCCCATAGCTTTCAACCTTATTTTCAAAATCTTTCTCCATAAATTTGACTCGTAGTCCACCAAAACCCATATGGTAAACACAAATTTCATGTATCTCACCAAACAAATAGAATGATCCAAACTTCTCACCTTCCCCCATTCAAAAATACCCATGTCGCAACTTTCATGATTAGAACCTTTTCTTGCATCATTGGGGAGCCTATACATTCTTGATTGACAACTCTCAAAATTGTATGCCATTATATATGGCCTAAAATAAGGACTTCTCCTGTCAATATAATCAAAACTATTTGATATAAAGTGGAGAGAGCTATGAAGATACACAGGCATCTCAAGTCTCATGCTTCTACTACCAATGAAAAAACTCCTCTCCATTGCTTGCCATACACCTTCCTTTGGAAAATACACTTTTAAATCAAGAAATGATGACCATTCAGGGGGTTTGTCAATCAAGAATATCCTATAGTCATCAAAATCAAGATCTTTATTAATGCACTCAAAAAATAAATTGATATCAGCATCAGGAGTTTCATGCACACATGTTGGGGTAGGAATGGGAAGCCATGTTTGTGATACAGGATTACAAATAAACAACTCAACCGGGCTCTTTGTTGTGCTTCTACACAGAACTAACCCATTACTTGATGCAAGGATTCTTGCTGATTTTCCTAAGAATGTGAGAAAATTCTTAGGCACTCCAGAAGATAACTCCTGTTGAGGTAATGGGTGGATTTCAATTCTGTCATTGTACCTCTGGATTGTGTCTGGCTGAACAATGAAGCAAGTATCATCCTTTAGCAACATATTTTGTGCCTGCTGCATGCAAAATAAAGTTTCTCCAGAAAAGTCTAAGAAGGAGGTGCAAATAGACTTCAATTTGCAAACTGATTTTGCGGGAAGCCATGAGAATATGTGAAACACTTCATCCTCACACAATGATGCCATAACTAAATCTAGAGACAAATGCTAGGATGAATAGTAGAAGAGCCCCAAATTTGAAGTTAAACACTGGTTATTACTTTTGTTGCCACTATATGAGCATTAGAAGGTATACGAAACTTGGCCTTCAAGTTATTAGGGAGTAGGATTATCTTGTTATCATTAATTCTCCCGAAACTTGTTCTTCAAGAAAGTCTTAATATGTTTTAATTAAATCATTTGAATCTTTTCCAAGATTAGTTCCATTATTATCCTTTTCATGATTTATTTCCTTTTCTATAGTGATAATTACATAACAAATATGATCATCCTATTTTAAAGTAGGATCAATTAATTTTTTTTCTTCAGAAAATCTGAAAACAATCATATACACGATTGCAGTTTAAAATACCAATAGATAACGATAGTTTACCACCACAAAATCTGAGCCAAGGGGAGGGTTATACTTAGATAATTTTTTTTTATACTTTACTTTCTCTTAGTTGTCACTTGGCACTTTGCAAATACCCCCACTCTCGGGCTATATCAGCGTATTGATTCTATGGAAAATATAAAAAAATTATAATATAATTTTTACAATAAAATAATTTTTGCACAAAAATAAACAAGTAAAAATGTATGAATTTTTTTAACTATTTTTCCTATAATCCTTGAAAAGTTGGTTCTAGGTTAAATCTTTAAAGTTCCCAAATCAATTAAACAAGATTTTGTATAACCATATCAACTTTTTTTTCGATAACAAATCAAATGATGTTGATATTTTACAAAAATTTTCATAATTTATTATTTTTAATACTTTTAACATTGAGGAAGGTTATAGTTACAACTTTTTTTTTACAACCTCTTACAACCATATATCATAACCGTTGAATTCCGCCAATCAACGGTTATGATTTAGGGTGAATTAATGAATTTAATTTGCGAAAATCATAACCGTTGATTGGCAGAAATCAACGGTTATGATATATGGTTGTAAGATGTTGTAAAAAAAAAGTTATAGCTG